GTGAATGTCTTGTTTTCAGAAATCAATGTGAAATTGTGACCAAAACTTGAATTTAGTTCAAATCCTCTTTGATCGAAGAGTTCTTCTGAAACGTCCTCTCTCTGGTTCAGGTGATGGAGGTGTGTGGTGCTAAGCGTCTGGGGTTCTTCGGCTGTGCTCAGTTTTACCTGGCTCTGAAGCTGATGGCGGCGGCGCAGGCTGGTTTACCTGTGCGTCCGGAGAGCATCACCGCCGGTATGTGATCCATCCTGAAGTGTTCTGTAGGCACACTGCAAAACAACAAATCTCAGCAAAGCTGTAGAAGCTTAAATTTAGATGAGAATTCTTGATTTTTATGAACAATTGTCTAGTTTAGTTCTTTAGGGTACAGATTATTGACCTAAACTGAGAACATATGACCTAAACTGTCTTGAGAGGAAAAAAAAAATCCTTGAAATTAGAAAAACCCTAAATCTAAAATAAAAGAAGTGTTTTTTGGGACAAATTTGATTTTAAGAAATCAATGTTAAGTTCAAAGGTTGCCAGTTCGAGGCTCGCCGGTGACCTTCTTGAAAGGCATGTTCTTGTGGGTTTCCCCCACAGTCCCGAATACATGTAGCTGCCCAGGGTCACAAGGTTTCAACTCCTGTGTATGTTAACGATTCAGTCCAAACGTTCTTGTTTTGTAGCAGACTTTCATGACATTTAAGCAGGTTCTTCTAGTTTTAAGACTATTTCAAAGACTAGCTTTAAGTACAAATGTCCTTGATTTAAAAACCTTAAAACACAACTTAAACCAGGGGTCACCAACACAGTGCCCGCGGGAACCTGGTCGCCCGTGAGGACCACATGAGTCGCCCGCTATCTCCTCTAAAAATAGCTCAAATAGCGCCACTTTCCAGTGAGCTGAAACTAATTTAATATGATTGCTATTGTTGATGTGACAATATCTAAATTAAAAAATTGTATTATAACAACGACCAGGTAGAGTTGAAGGGTCACATGACACGCTACGACGAAACAAACAAGCAGCGCAGCGAAAATGAGACGACTGACGCATAAAAAGAACAAAATCCGTTTTTTTTACCTCAGTGGAAGGAGCGTGTGTTTGTCTCATTTGCGCGACGACTGTGGCAGCGACGGCCAAGCGGCACAATGCAGAGAGACATTTCACGACGGCTCACACAAGCTACCAACTATCCACAGAGCAGCGCACTGAATGCAGAAAAACCCTGTGAGCTGCGGAGATGCGTGAGAAGACTCACTCAGAGTGCAACATACTGGTTAACTGCACGCAATGCCAGGCTTCCCAGTAACTGAAAGAAATACCAGATCTGGTGTTCAGTTCAATGCGTTTGTAAAATGGAAAAGTTGTTTATGTTAAAATGTTAATAATATGTTTTAATCTTAGCTCACTTTTTGTATTTATATGATTTCTGATTTGTACAATAGATTTTGTGGTTTCCTTGGACTGTTGTAGAAGTAATCATTCTGAAGTGTTTTGAACATTTATATATTTATCCAAAGTGACTTACATTTTGAAAGAATGAACACATTTTTTGTCAGCTCTTGCTTTCACTGGGATTTGAACCCACAACCTTTGCGTTGTTAGCGCAATGCTCCACCAACTGAGCCGCAGGAAAAGCCTTCCACAGAAGTTAAATGATCGTAATAATAATGTATTTTTCTCCATCTCATCTGAGGGCTTTGCTTGGCCGACCGTCTCCAGTTTCTAGTTTCAATAACATTATCCCAAAGATCAGAACACACGGCTGAGCTCAGAAGAAAACTCCCGACACAGACGGAGGGCAAGCATTCGTGTATTGTCTGTAATAACATTCGGATGTCGATCAGTTTGTAGATCTCAGAGCAGCTTGAGATTTTTCTGAACCGGATTAAACCTCGTATGAACTCGCTGTAGCAGCGCTGGGCATTCACTCACCTACTCACCTTTAGAGTGGGATTGTTGTTTTTAAGGCACTGCTCATCTCTCAAGATGAAAAATAATGCTCACACAGCTTTCTTTGTTTTTCATGTTAAAAGTGCAGTTTCTTAACACAAAGCATGCTTCTCTCCACACAAATGAACGGAAATTAACATAACTTTGAATAAAAATTTTTAAAACCCAATTCATGTAACAGTGTACGTTAGTTTGTGAATGTTTAACTTTAAACTGTGTTTCTGACGTCACTTTGGGGAAATATGTTGTAAATTGCTGGCAGCACAGTGGCGCAGTGGGTAGCACTGTGGCCTTCCAGTTAGAAGGATGTCGGTTCGAGGCTCGCCGGTGACCTTTCTGGAAGGAGTTTGCATGTTCTCCCTGTGCTTGCGTGGGTTTCCTCCGGGTGCTCCGGTTTCCCCCACAATCCCCAAAAACATGCGGATAGGTTAATTGAATAAGCTAAATTCCCCTTAGGGTGTGAATGTGTGTGAATGTTGCCCTGTGATGGACTGGCGAACTGTCCAGGGTGTACCCCTGCCTCTCGCCCAATGTGTGCCGGAGATAGGCACCGGCAGACCCCCGTGACCTCGAAAGGGAATCAGCGGGAATGAAAATGAATGAATGAATGAAAAAATGTTGTAAATTGCATTTCCAAAATCAACAGGAAGTTGTCTATTTGGCAAAAAAAGATCACTTTTGTTCATGTGATACTTTAAAAACTCCTCTTAGAGTTTATCTCTGTTATCTCTGTTTATCTCCAGCTCCATCTTTAGGCATATGGGATGTTACTTTGTGAAGATTTTGTTAAGCAATGTGTGCACCATGGCCGTCAGGGTCCTCAGTCATCAGATTGTTTCCTTTTGAAGCTCATACATTTAACTCAGGTGCTTCCATTTCTTCTGATCATCTTTGAGATGGTTCCACAGCTTCATCTGAGTCCAGCTGTGATTGAATCTAGTGATTGGACTTGATTAGGAAAGCCACACGCCTGTTTATATAAGAGCTATCTCACAATGCTCAGAGCAGATGAGGATCGTGAGGAGCTCAGATCTGGCCAAGGTTACAAGAACATTCTGCTACTCTTAAGGTTCCTCAGAGCAGAGTGGCCTCCAAAATCCTTAAATGGAAGATGTTTGGAACAACCAAAACCCAGCTGTCAGAAGGGAAGGTGAGAGAGGTGAAGAAGAACTCAAAGATCACTGAGATCCAGAGATACATTTGGAAAGAAAAAGAGAAAGTTGTAGAAAGCCCTCCACCAGCCAGGATTTGATGGCAGAGTGGCCCAACAGAAGCCTTTCCTCAGTGTAAAACAAATGAAAGCCATTAAGGAGGACTACATCATGGTGAGAAATAAGATTCTCTGGTCTGATGAGACAAAGACAGAACATTTAGGCCCTAATTCTAAGCGGTATGTGTCGCAAAAACCAGGCGCTGCTCACCACCTGTCCAGTACAGTCGCAATAGTGACGCATGGTGGTGGCAGCATCATGGTGTGGGCCAGCAACCTCAGACTGGGCCGAAGCAGTATAATGACCGTAAACACACAGCTTAAAAATAACCAAAGAGTGGCTTCACAACAACTCTTGAATATCTCCATCTTAAACCCAACTAACCTCCTCTGGAGACCTAAAAATGTTCGTCCACCAACATTCCCATCAAACCTGACAAAACAGACAGTAATATCACCTTGAACCCCAGCCTCTGTATCTCCACCTGCTATCAGATGTGAACATTGTAGTTGTTTGTTGTTCATTCTCATGGCACTTGAATTATGAACGGTCTTTATCGAACTCATTTCATTACTGGACGCATTATTTATGCAGCAACACGCAGAGAAACACAGTTTGCAGCCGTTCATACGTGTTCTCTACTCCCAGGGCTCAGATTCTCTGTTGTTTCCTCTTCCGAGTCACTTGTCTTTGCCCTCAGAGCTTCCTCCCCCGGTGTTTGTCGGGGTTACAAACGAGCTCGAGCGGAGATACGGCAATCACCTGGTGACCAATGAGGGCCAGAGCTTGCTCACAGGCCCCGCCCCTCTTCCCGTTGGAGACAGAGCTGGACTCGGCCTGGACAAGCAGGTGATGAGCATCAGATATCAGGATTTATCTTCTTCCTTCTCCTGTATTCATTACTGTTTGTTTGAAAGGAGGCGTGGTCTCCACCTCGATCACCTGCCAGCTCTCCGCCCCGCTCACCATCGACCTATCGTAGCTATCCATATAGCGCTCAAAGGAACGGAACTGAAGT